TTTAAGAACTTTAAAACATAATCATTTTCTTCTAATGCCTTACCCATCCATGATACCAAAAGTTATCTAATGAATTACATCTGGCAATAGCAGTATACCCTTTGTTTTTTATCTTATCCATTTAAGAAATAGGAGAAATCTGTGAGTATATGACAAGAAGTGATTTTTACATAAATTTAACTGTGACTGCTCTAGAAGTGTGCAATCAATCTAAAATACTACAAACCAGTCTCAGTTTCCCTACAAACATTGGGGATAATAAATTTAAAGCTAAAATTGTCAATTCTCAGAAAGTTTTCCAGCTACAGTCCATCCCATATATGTCTAAATATACTGCTGTCTAATTAAGGTGCAGTTTTTTTATTTCATTAAAATTCTTAAATGATCACTTCTCTCAGCCTTTTGGCTAAGATAAAGTTTCCCATGTTTAGAAACAACACAACTCAATTGTAAAACTCACTTTATGGTGTCTTTATGTGATCACTCTTTTTCTGAGACAGGGTTTCTCTGGAGCCTGGAGTCTGTCCTGAAACTAGCTCTTGTAGACCAGGCTGTATGTGATCATTCTTAAATGCACAAATCAGAGCAAACTACATTCCATTATTACACACTATTTACACTGTGCTTTAGGTCAGAACTAGTGTGTGCCTGATTTTAACCTCCAGAGTTATGCACTAAGTAGGAGACAAATAAAAATTCTCACAAGAAAACTTCATGTATCACTCATAAAAAAAAATGATTTCCCCCGAAAAAAGAAATCAGCCTACTAATTCTAATCACCACGTTTTTAAAAAGTGCCAACATTTCCCAAAGTGCCAACATTCCTTAGACCTCATCTTCTACAAACTCATCAACAGCCCTTTGTGTCCAACTTTAAAGAGATGAAGCTTCCAATGACTCTATCTATGGGCAATGTATCTTCTAAAAGTAGTGATCCAACTAGCAGAAAAAAAAAATCCTGAACAATACATTCATTAATAACACCCCTGTTACATTAATCTTAGCACAACAATTCAGGCCATTAGTATACAATAACCTACACCACACCCCCTAGTAATCACCCCAAGCTTTTAACATCACCATAACAATAAGAGCTGAAAACAACTTAAAGCTGCAACAGAAGTAAGTACCTTTAAGATAACCAAACTAAAAGCTATCACTGTCTTTTTTGACTGCCAGTAATTAATGTATTCCACAAAGATCCTAAAAGCAGTCAGTATTCATCAAACCAAAACTGCCCTCTGCTCTCCCGCACCTGATCCCAAGGTGCCACACATTCAGAAGTAAAAAAATCACGAACTGCAAATTCAAACAATCATAAATGGTAAACTCTAATTTAAATTAAGAAGCAAACCATTTACCAAAAGCGAGATGTCTCTTCCTTAGAAAACAATTAAACTGTAGATCCAGATTCCGGGGGTGGTGGGTGGGATACAATTCTCCACCCCAACATTCACAAGTTTTCAACATCAAAATTCACTCACCTCCTACTCACACCAAATGAATATCCATTGTGAATATTTGAACTATTCTCGAACACCAACAGGAGAAGAAGAAAAAAAAGGAATATCTTTGCGCCTACTTCTAACAGTCTTACAATACACCCTTCATCAATCCTCGGGTAACCCAAGTGCAACGCTACTACGGATGCCCTTGGCCTGAGCCAGCAGAAGCAATAATGAAAGGCAATAACCATCAAGAATCTAGCTCTTTTTCCAGCACTACTGCTACCAAGCAAAACAATCACGAGTCCAGAAAGATGGCAAAGAAAATCTGAGTCGTTTAAATCCCAGGAGAACGGCGCACGGGGGAGAGGGGGAGGGAGCGTGGGGGTGGTGTTGGGGTGATCTCGAAAGAAAGGGGTGCGAAGCAAAGGAGGGGCGCGGAGGAGCAAACTTAAGTTATTCCCCAAGCATCTACCAGACTCCAACAACAAAAGCAAACCGTAGAGTCTGTGCGCACTTCGAAGCACCAGATGGAGTCCCCGGGGCTGAGACAGTTCAACAGACACAGTGGGCAGTGGATAAATCAAGCAAGCAGTGACGCGAGAGGAAGGGGATGCTAGGCGAATGAGCCACTAGATAGGGGAGACAAAGCCTCTGGGGGTGACTAAGGACCAAACAGAAAAAGGTGAGAAGAGATACAGGAGAAAGACAATGGAAGAAAGAGGGGCAGGAATCTGGTGCCTGGGCTGTGGCAGGTCACCCGGCTACGGAGGAGAGGGAGACAACAAAGGGGCACGGGAGGAAGGACAGTGAAGTGGAGATGCAGACGGGATGCGGGGCGCGCAGCGGCTCCCACCGAGGGCCTAAGGCGGCGAAACAAAGGGCCGGGGGCAGAGTCGCGGGGGGCAGCGCGCGGAGACAAAGCGCCCGGGCTCCGGGGACAGCGGCGGAGCGGACAGGCGACGCGGGCCGCCGGGAACAAAGCTGCGCTGGCTCCCCGGCCAGGCCCGCAGAAGGGGGCGCGCGGCGGGCACAGCGCCCACGGCCCCGCGCGCCGACCGCACTCCGCCCGCAGCCGCCGGCCTCGTCACCGCCCGCCCTCACGCACCGGAGCCCGCTCCACCGCGGCGCACGGCGAGTCCCGCACCGGCCCGCGACACCGCGTCGCCGCCCGCGCCCCCCTCCCGAGCCGAGGCGTGCCGCACAGCCCGGGCCCGCCGCCTGCCGCGGGCAGTCAGACGCCCGCAACTTTCCCGGTTCCCAGCACTCGCTCCCCCTCAGACTTACCCTGTCACAACAGGCGCCATCTTCCACAAACTCTCGCCAAAACTCCAACCCTCGCGAGATTCCCCCCGCCGCCTTTCCCTGCTCCTCTCCCCCGCCCCTTCCCTCGGCCTCGCTGAACGCTGCCACCCGGCCCCCGCGCCGCCTTTCCCCGCTCCGCCGCCGCCGGGAGCCTGCCACCTCGCGCCACCCGCGGACTAGGGGATCCTGTTCGCTGCCTTCCCTGGAAACCTACCCCGGCGATGGAGCATGCGCAGGCCGCTCCTCCGCAGGCGAGCCCTCCGTGTAGTCCATGGGGAGCGCTCCGGTTATCCGGGTTTTGAGACGCGCCATCGGGGGACGTACGTGGAGACTGAGGAAAACCGGAGGGGATTACTACGGGGACAAGGACTGGAGGGGTCAGGAGGCGGGGCCCCGGGGCCGGGAGGAGGGGTCCTGGGAAAATGTGAGCGTTTCACAGGCCTAGACGAGACACCTCCTCAAGTGGGTGTTTTCCAAGTGGCTTCCCGCTCGCGGCGGGTTCCCAGCCCTATTCATTCATTCAGCCGTTCATTGGACACCTCCTTTATGCTAATGTCGGGATCAGGTGCCCGAGCGGCGGAGACCGGACAGAGATCCGGACCCAGTGACCTGCCTGTAGCTGTCTCCATTCATTTGCCCCTGCGCTCCCCGCACACGTGGGGACACGGGCATGGTTACAGCGTGGCCCGACCCTCGCCCGTGCTCTGCAGACGGAAAGCTTCGGGGAGTCAGCTCTGTGGTCTTAGCCGCTTCTCCCCGATGGGGGTCAGCCTCGGGCAAAGGCGCCACCAGACGTCCACCGCGCAGCCACACATCAGAGTCCCCGAACGGTTCTCCCCCAGAGCCACCGCTCCGAGCCACACTTCAAGCCCCAGCACTCGGGAGCGAGCTTCCCGTCGAGCTCAGGCTGCCTAGGCATTCAGGGCGGTCTGGCCAGCTCGCGGGAGCTGCGGCGCGTAGGGGACTGCGGGGCAGCCTCCCCGCCGGTGGCCTGACACTGTCCCCCGCTGCGAGCTCGCGACAGCTCCCAGCCAGGTGCAGGCCCGAGCCCCGCCCCTCCCCTACCTGCTGTCCTCCCCGCTCCCCCCCCCCCCCCCCCCCCCCCCCCCCCCCCCCCCCCCGCCCTTCCCTTTCCTAGAGATTCCCAGCTCCTGGGCTGCCTCCCGCAGGGAGCCGCAAAACCCGGACAACTGGACTCCGCTGCCCGAAACCCGCTCCGAGGCGCCGCAGGATTGGCGCGGCGCGCGCCTGAGCCACTGCGCATGTGCGCAATGCGGGCAGTCGAGTCTCACGCTACACCTCCTTCCGACCGCCTTCCAGCGCTCGGCTCAGACACAACACTGGCCGTGGGAAATTTCCCAAGCCTCGCGAGAACGGGCTCCCCCCCCCCCCCCCCATCTTCGGGCGGCTCGGGGTGCGCCCTAAATCTCGCCGAGCTGGAGCCCGACAGGTGTCCGTCTCGTGCTGCTCCGGCGCGCGTGCCCGGGCGTGGAAGGCAGGGTCGGGCTGGCCCGTAAGGCGGGGCGGTGGGCGCGTGGCGGGGAGAGGCAGGCGGAGGCCGCCCTGGCACACTCACGCACGCGCCGGGCAGGCTTCCTGTCGCCCTCCCGAGCCTGGTACTTTCCTGAAATGTGCCAGACGCAGTGCCCCCCGCCTCTGGGAGCTGACAGACAGCCCCCGTGTCGGCTTTGAGTCATGCATCTGAGTCACCTAGTCGGGCCTCCACTCCACTTGCTTTACAACAACTTTAGATTCCCTTAACTACCAATGGGTGGTTTTTCTGTACAGTTGTCTTACTGGCTTTGTGAGGCGGGCAAGGCTCCGGGAAAACTGAACTTGGCTATGTTGCATGTTTGCATTGTCTTACAAGGACACGATCTGAAGTATCTTTTCTTTAGTCTCTTCCTACCCTTTAAAGGGATCCCTACAAGTCAGTTTCTGCCGCCCCTCTCCTCCTCCATATGACTTAAGATGCCGGCTTTGTTTCCTTCCACTTTCTATGCATCCCATTTTAGGTACTGTTTCACCAGTTACATTAGTGGCTGCTGTTTTCCATGCATCCTTTCTTTCAAGATTATTTGCCCAAGAGGTGTCAGAATATTCTTCAGCTAGTCACTTTTCAAATTGGCACTGTGTAGGACTGGTGTCTTACTGGCATCATAGACTCACGAATACGGACTTGAACTGCGTTTTGACATTTAAAGGACAGCGAGCCCCCAATAACTAATGTCTTCTGATTATACTATGGATGGAAACCAAGCTTTTGCGTTTTGAAGGTTTGTAGAGGTGTGGGTTTGCCTATTTCTTTGCTTATTCACGTAAAAAGGAATGTATAGCCTTTTAATATGCTGTATAAGAGCAAGCCTCATCTAGAGCAGAAGGAAAGCCTATAAACATGTCCTCTGAGCCATCTTCCCAAGGATGTGCAGACATAGTGAGGTCTGTGACACTAATGGTGGACCTGTGGCCATCTGAGACGCTGGAAAACCCTGTTAGTCATAAACCTAATCTCAACCCATCAGCTCCGCCTACAGTGTTTTCCTTTCTCAATAAAGGCAACTCCTTCGCTCTCACTTAAGGGGAGGACCTTGAAATTACTTTTACCTTTTATCACTCACCCAGAATTGAGTCAGCAAGAAAAATCATGCTAGTTACATCTATTAGTCTATTTTCAAATCGGCAATATGTAAGGAAAGGAAGGTGATATTGCTCCAGCTTTGGAGGGTGCAGGAGCATGATGCTAACACCTGCTGGGCTGTAAACAGTCCTCCTTAGCAGATGGTGTCACAACAGCAGAAGTACGTGCCTACAGAAGAGGTCACATCAACTGGGACACTGGAAACCAAAGACAGAAGGACCCACGCTTGTCTCTAGAGTGACTTTTTTTTAGGTAACCTTTTTATGTGTGTGGGTGTACACAAGCCACAAATGTGGAGGTCAGAGGACAACTTGCTGAACCCATTCTCTCCTAGTATGTAGGTTCCAGGGATCATTCTTTGGTGGCCAGACTCGATGCCCTAATTACCCAACTTCATAAAAATTCAAATTACTCAAATTACTACTGGAGACCCAGACTACAAATGAACTTGGGATCACAGGTGAGCTATGTTCAAAGCACAGTGCTGTATCTTCAAAACAGAGCTAGATCCGAACCTTCTCTACCTCCCTAGCTCCTTAGCTAGTGCCTTCCCCAGCTGGTTTACAGGCTGTCTCCTAAGTGATCCTCCTTCCTTCCATGCATGCTTCCCTCTGACTCTTCTCAGTGGGTCAATCCTTATCATCCTCTAAGGACTCCAGTGGTTTTCCCATTTGACTGTGAGAATTTAGCATTTGGCTCGCTGCCAAATTCTTCCACCGCCTTGATTCCAGCCGGTACTCTCTTCCTTCAGTGGAAGCCCTAGCCTGCTGCCCTTCTTGAAACTCCCGGGGCACATTAAACACCCTCAGCTCCAGTCCTGTGCCCTCTCCATGACCTGCAATGCTCTCCCCTTACTCGCACAAGAGGAAGAAAGACTCCTCTGAAGTCTTTAGGTAAATGTCGTACCCTGGCCTCTTTTGGCCACCCTTCACTAGAGTGACTGCTCTGGTCCTGCTTCTCACATCCTTTGTTTTCCTCAGGGCATCACAGCCTAAAGCACCACCGAGGACACTTGTGTGTTGTTTATGGCCCGACTCTCCTCGTGCTAGCGACGGTTGGAAACGAGGACTTTGGTCACTTCTAGTCATTCTTCAAGCCTCAGCTCCGGGAACTTTGTCTGATACTCAGTATTTGCAGGGGGATGGAGGAGAGATAATGCATCTCTCACAGGGCAGAGCAGAGATGATTTTAAGTGATGGAAAGAAGGTGCTTTGAAAGGGGGAGGAAAGAAAACCATTTTGAGGTAGACCAGTAATGAAACTACTTAGGAGTTTCCTGCTCTCCATGTGAGCCCCCCCAGGAAAGGAAAATGCTGTAAATGGACAATAAAGAAATAGATGTTTTCATGGGTGTCTTGTGGGATTAAAAATACAGTCTCTGTGGAAACTGTTTGGGTATATTTGTCCGTATGTGTTAATCATACAACTCTGTGTTGTTTATGCTACAAGTATACTAACCCGTTTGTTTGTTAGGCTACGTATATATTACAACACTTCTGATGATAAATGCTGGGAACCTCTTCTGGGTCTAGAAAATAGATTAAGTGAAGCAACCCAAACTCAGAAAGACAAATATTGAAATTTTCTTATGTGGCTCCTAGCTTATACATATGCATACCACTGGGTATAAGTGTGGGCATACAATATGAAATTAGAAAGGAGACCAGGTGATGAGAAAAGGGGAAGTTGAAGAGGCAGGAGGGGCAGGCAGTAAGATACCCGTGACATCAAAGTGAGAAGGTAGCTGAGAAGCACAAGGTCATGGGGACTGGGAGGCCAGCGGAAGGGAGAGAAGAGTTAGCAAAAATAAACTGTATTTGAAATCACCATAATGAAATCCAATATTATCTATCCTAACGTTAAAAGGTTTTAATTGTAAAGGGGTGGGAAGGGAGCTGGAGAGATGTCTCAGGGCTTAAGAGCACTGGGTATTCTTCCAGAGGCCCTGGGTTCAATTCCCAATGCTCTCTCTGTAATTCCATGTCTAGAAGATAATACTCTCTTCTAGCCTCCTCAGGCACAAAGCTCACAGATGGTGCACATACATACATACATACATACATGCAGGCAAACTACCTACACATGCTAAAAAAATGTTTAGCGTGCATTGCTGAAACTCTAAATGTGAGTTTAGTAGCGTGAGTCATGGAGCAGGTGTGCATAACAAACTGAACAGACTGTACCAGAGATGCCAGGCATGCTGACGCAGTGGCTGACTCCTGCTTGAAAGTAATTCTAACTGGGCAGTGGTAGTGCATGCTTTTAATCCCAGCACTCAGGAGGCACAGGTAGGCAAATCTCTGAGTTAGAGGCCAGCCTGGTCTATAGAGTGAGTTCCAGGACAGCCAAGGCTACACTGAGAAACCCTGCCTCAAAAAAAAGGAAAAAGTATTTTTTCTCCTTCCTTCTTTCCTTCCTTCCTTCCTTCCTTCCTTCATTTATTTTTTGAGGCAGGGCTTCTCTGAAGCTTTGGAGCCTGTCCTGGAACTAGCTCTGTAGACCAGATAGGCCTCGAACTCACAGAGATCTGCCTGCCTCTGCCTCCCGAGTGCTGGGATTAAAGGCTCGTGCCAATAACACCACCTGGCCTTTTTGTTTTATTTTGTTTTGTTTGGGGGAGGGTTGTTTGTTTTGTTTTTGTTTTTTGAGACAAGGTTTCTCTACCTTGTCCTGGGACTTGCTTAGTAAACCAGGCTGGCCTTGAACTCACAGAGGTCTGCCAGCCTCTGCCTCCCAAATGATGGGGCCTCCAAATGCTGGGATTAAATACCTGAAAAAGGTATTTCTAACAAAGCGTGAGGACCACCTTTCCCCCCAGAAGTTTTCACTCCAGGAGAGATTGCATATCATTTCTTTTTTTTACCTAATAAACGAAACATTTAAATAAGAAAGGAATGAGTTTGGAAGGGCACGGGTCCACTGGGCAGTTGAAGCAGGTGTAGCTCACTAACACAGTCACCTACAGTACTGCTTTTATTCCTTCTCTGTCTCAGCAGGGTGTCACTAAGGAGTCCTGACTGGCTGGAGCTTAGTGTGTGAACCAAGTCTCCTCTGAACTTCTAACAAGCCTCCTTTTGCCTCCCAACAAGGCTGATGGTGCTTTTAACCTAAAATCAAGTTGAATTAAGATTCCCACATTAATGAACCGTACCCCCAACACTGAGCTCTTAGCTATAAGTCATTAGAGAATGGGTTTAACCTCTCTCACCTGTAAAAGGTAGGTGATAGTGCCCAACTCGTAGAGTTGTTGCGGGGATTCACAGTGTCCCTGTACGTGAGCAATGCCATTCATCAGCAAGTTTACAACTCTCATTCTTGCCGAAATCCTTCTTAAGCACAAAGTGTCGCTTGAGCGTCTCAAAAACCCATTTGGCGATGGTGGCGCACGCCTTTAATCCCAGCACTCGGGAGGCAGAGGCTGGTGGATCTCTGTGAGTTCGAGGCCAGCCTGGTCTACAGAGCTAGTTCCAGGACAGGCTCCAAAGCCACAGAGAAACCCTGTCTCGAAAAACCAAAAAAAAAAAAAAAAAAAAAAAAAAGATAGCTAACTATCCAGATAAGTGGTAGTTTCTTTCTTTAGCATAGCCCATTCAGAAATGACAGTTGTTTAGTATCATTTCAAAAAGACTCACATACCTCAAGTAATTGAGAAAAAAACCCTTGTAGCCAGGGGGTACTTTTGAGTATATACATAAAACAAGGCATCCTGTCATCAATCACATGAGATGGCCACAACATGCATAAAAGAAGACTCCCTGGGGCTAGGGGATAGCTCAGTTTAGTTTGCCAGACATCACGGGGATCTGAGTTCAATACCACAGTACCTGTGTAAAGGTAGAGCAAGCTCCCCCACACACAGGTAATCCCAGCTGGGAAGGAAGGAACAACATGAGTGCTAGCCAGTGAGTCGAAGGGAATCAGCAAGTTCCACATTCAGAAAGGGACCCTGAGATGGGAAGCAACTGAGGAGGTCACCTAACGTTAAGCACTGGCTTCCAAGTGTGCGTATATGCACGCACACACACGCACACACACACGTATGTACACATATCCTATTTTTCCCTCATCCCTATACCCTTGTGTTTACAGCAGCATCTCTGTTGTGTCCTAGTGTATGTTAATCAGAGTCTCAGAAGGTTGCAAGAGTGCAGTAGGTGGTATTAGACTGTGCAATTCTATAAGGAACGTGAGCTCTAACTCCAAGATTAAAAAAGACTAAGGAAGCCGGGCAGTGGTGGAGCACACCTTTGATCCCAGCACTGAAGGAAGCAGAGGCAGGTGGATCTCTGAGCTCATGGCCAGACTACAGAGTGAGTTCGAGGACAACTAGGACTACACACAAAAAAATCCTGTTTGGGATAGAAGAAAACAATAAGGAAAGCACTGGAATACTAGAAGCGAGTCACGGAATGAACTTGAGAAACAGGCTTCAGGTGAGTCTGAGAAAGGAAAGCAAATGCCCATGCTTTCTTTCAAGTTATATTTGAGTTTTTACAAGATTCTTTGACCCTAGCAATTTGACTTTTTTTTGTGGGCCTGGTTTGCGTTTTTTTGCTTGGCTTGTTAAGGTGCAGCAATACTGGGAGGCCAAGTAGAAAGCAGGCCATTTTGCTCTAGCTAAGTGCAGCATGCATGAATGGATCAAATGTATGTAAAGTGTATGTACAAATTTCAAAACCTGCCGGAGCTTTCAACAGCAAATTAATAGGAAGAAAATGTTTCCATGTGTGGTTCATGTGTTTAGTTTCTTTTCTTTTTTATGTATTAGTATCTTGCCATGGTTGTCAGGTCCCCTGAACTGGAATTACAGACAGTTGTGAGCTGTCATGTGGGTATTGGGAGTTGAACCTGAGTCCTCTGAAAGAACAGTCAATGTTTTTAACCACTGAGCCATCTGTCCAGCCCCTGTTTTCCATTCTTTTTGTAACATAAGTAATATAAAGGCAGTTAACACTAAACAAAGAAATCATACCATGGGAATCATAAAATTCCAGTTTCTCATTCATAGAGTCATATATTAAAATTCTAACTTCACAGAATTTCCCCCTTTGTTATGTATCATATATTGCACTCGTTAAGGGATTTGCATTATGTCAGTGTTAAATATCCAATATGAAGAAACAGCTGGAGCCGGGCAGTGGTGGCACATGCCTTTAATCCCAGCACTCGGGAGGCAGAGGCAGGCGGATCTCGGTGAGTTCAAGACCAGCCTGGTCTACAAGAGCTGTTCCAGGACAGGCTCCAAAGCCACAGAGAAACCCTGCTCTGAAAACCAAAAAAAGAAAAAGAAAAGAAAGAAAGAAAAAGAGCTGGAGTCAAGGCCTTCACCACTAACCAGCTGGCCCACTATGGATAGATTCATTTTTTCCTAATCTGCAAACGGGGAACATAGGGTTTGAAATTGTTCATGAACTTACCAGGTACACAGGAAGCTTCTAACCCTGGGAATTTCTACACATTCTGTTTTCTGAACCCTTAGATGAACTATCACCTGCATTAGTGTTCTGTGGCATGCATCAAGTTAGATAATTGTAAGCATTTAATAGAAACAGTTGACCTTAGGTAAGGTCATGGCACTTAATTTCTCAACTGGCACATTTGCTCTTGAAAAGTCGACTCTGGGGCTAGGACACTGGCTTGGTATGAGAATCAGAGTCTGGATCCCCCATAAACCTATGCAAATAAATGCCAGGTGGGCCTAGTGGCCCATCTGTAATTCTAGCTTCTGACGACAGAGCACGGGGATCCCCAGAACAAGCTGGCCAGGAGCCTGGCCATATTGGTGAGCCCTGCGTTTGACTCATAGGCTGCTTCAAGGAAGGTTGTGGAAGAGCAATAGTGGGCGAGCCCTGACATAAACCTGGGGCCTCCAAATGCACAAACACCCCCAACACACAGATACAATCACTTACACACACAGAAAAAAAAGGGGGGGGGGTTAAAAAGTTAGCTGTGGTTATAAAGTTACTCATTATAATAAAAAACAAAGCTTCCATTTTCTTCTATGGACTGTGTTACTATTAAGCTTCTACCTTGAACATAGAGTGGTCTCTGTTACAGTTTCAAGGCAAGCCCACCAGAAAGGTTCTATGCGTGTGTGTGTGTGTGTGTGTGTGTATCGTGTAGCTAACATCTTTGTCCAAAACAGACTGAGTAAGAAGCTTAGCTTTGGAAACCATCTATTTAAGCAATAACAAATAGTGACTTTTCAAATAATTCCTCTGAAATTCTCACTGTCAAAGTCAGCTCAGTAACCCATCGCCCCCTCAAACATCACTACCAGAGTTGTGTATCATCACCTTCAATAGTTGCTGTTGACATTATGCTAGTTTTAGATATTAACTACTTTAAACTGTCGTGACATCAACATGTAG